GAGATGGATGAAACTGGAGCCCATTATACAGAGTGAAGTAAGCCAGAAAGATAAAGAACAATACAGCATACTAACACATATATATGGAATTTAGAAAGATGGTAATGATAACCCTATATGCAAAACAGAAAAAGAGACACAGATGTACAGAACAGACTTTTGGACTCTGTGGGAGAAGGCGAGGGTGGGATGTTTTGAGAGACCAGCATCGAAATATGTATATTATCAAGGGTGAAACAGATCACCAGCCCAGGTTGGATGCATGAGACAAGTGCTCGGGCCTGGTGCACTAGGAAGACCCAGAGGGATCGGGCAGAGAGGGAGGTGGGAGGGGGGACTGGGATGGGGAATACATGTAAATCCATGGCTGATTCATGTCAATGTATGGCATAAACCACTACAATATTGTAAAGTAATTAGCCTCCAACTAATAAAAATAAATGGAGAAAAAAATAAAATTTTAAAAAATGGGGAAGAAAAAATAACCAAAGTGACTATTTTGTTATTACCTAATGGATAAAGTCCTCATTTATTTTTAACTTGATGAAGATTGATGCTCACTGTTTTGCTGCACAGCTACTTCTAACCATGTAGCAGAAGTTTAAAAATGTGAATTACTTTAAGGAACACAGTTTCTGATAAAAAGCAAATGGAGTATGGACAACCCTAAAGCAGGTCACACACACGCTTTAAGAATCTTTAGGAAAAACCAAAGAAATGGAAGTTTTAAAAATAATTTTCCCTTCAAACAGCTCAAACTCAAGAACCCAGTGGGGGTGGGTGTGTGTGTGTTTGTGTATATGTGTGTATGTGTGTGTGTGTGCGCTTGCACACATGTATATGTGTGAAGGGCTGATAGAGGTTTCAAACCCCCAAACATTTTTGTTCAGAACGCTTAAAATAACATGGGACTTTATTTATTTTAGGTACATAAAATGTGATTCAAAAGAAATATACTGATACAGCTACTCCTTGCCTATTCTAAAATTGTGAAAACATCATCAATAAATACACAAAGTGGTCTAACTCTTGATTCTTCCAGTGTTTGGGCTAATTAACATGGAATTAAAAAAAAAAGATTGCTATCAAGGAGGTGAAGGAGCTGGTGGTGGGGGTTGTAACTTACTTGAGTGGGTAGTTGAGGGATTAAGAAAAGAGGCATAATTGACAAGTCCTGTTCAGTGATACTCATGGGAGAAGTAAAAAATATTTGGATTTTGGAAATAATTTCTCACCCTAGGCATGTTGTTCTGGCCCAATGTACAGAACTCTTTTTTGTTGCTGTGCACAAACCCTAGCAGTGAAAATTACTTTTTAATTTGGTTCTCCTGCTTCTAGTCTAACTTAAAAAACTGTGTCTCAGGAAAAAGGTAAGAGAATAAGAAAGTGGCAATAACTAAGTAAACTATATTTATTGAAATTAAATTAGGTGTTTCTAGCATTGCATCTTATAAAAATGACTGGAAAGATTTTTTTCTTTCCAAAGGAAGGTAAATTTGGGCTGGCCTGACTTAGAACATAGCCTGTAGGTGCGTATTAGTTCACTTTCAAGAATTCTGAAGGTATCTAAACAAGATAGCAAAGAAGCCCATGCAACAGGTTTGAAGAGATAAGACAGACATATTAAGAACTCTGGACAGAGAAAATAGTCCCTTCAAATAAAAGTCCAAAACTATAAGTTATGTGCATGGTGCTCTGAATTACAACCATTGTTTCGCAATCTGCTTTTCAGATAGGCAGTGCTAGATAGCCTACATAAGGCTGAAGGATATCACGCATGCGTGCACAGTTACTAAGTCATGTCTGACTCTTTGCAACCTTGTGGACTGTAGCCTGCCAGGCTCCTTTATACATGGGATTTTCCAGGCAAGGATACTGTAGTGGGTTGCCATCTCCTCCTCAGGGGATCTTCCCAATCAGTGGTTGAACCCATGTCTCCTGCAATGGCAGGCAGATTCTTTACCACTGAGACACATGGGAAGCCCTGAAAGATATCAGGGGTTACTTTAGTGGAGTTTAGTGACTATTATTAGCAAACTGGGGAATGCTTTTTCATATAATAATGCACTCTTTGTTAAAAACAATTTTCTTATGATATTATTTTATGCTTATGTAATTCTTCTAAATTGAATATTTATGTATATATATTTTATTTTAATTTAAAAGTTGGCTACAATTTGAGTCATCTGGGATGTGGAGAAGGGGTGAATTCTTCTTATAAGAACACTGATCTTTGATTTAGGGGGAAAAAATCTTACTCTGCATGTTTAGAAAGAAAGACAAAAATTCATCCCCATCATCCCATCCATTGCCAAGAGAAACAAACACTTAAATTGCTCTGCTTAAGTAACAGATATTTTGAGATTTATCCTGCTATATAGTGGAGGGAACAACTTGGGAGTGAGGGAAATGAGGGGTGAAGATCCTGATGGGGAAAATACTAGATTGACACGGAGAAGGGTCTAGGTTAAGGCGAGGAAACTAGAGAGAGAGATGCAATCATTCCCATGATGAAATTTACCAGGAAAATTTTAGGACAGTGAAGGCTTATTTAATATTAAATTATTCTGGATTGTCCAATAATCCGCTTTGGTTATCCCTTGTACTAAAGTTTTCTTTCTTTTTATTGTGAGAATGAAGGCAAGTGATACAAATAAAGAGCAGAGTAAGGAGTAGAGAGGACAGCAGCTTCTGTACCTCACAAGTGAGATGACTCTGAGAGCAGGGATTCAGGGTCATAAGTGAATGAAAGCATCTCCAGGAAAGCTCTGAGGATATAAAGAGGGCCTAGACTTCCCTTTGTATCTGAGATGGGGCTCAACTTTTCATTAGATATTGAAGGATGATTATTAGTGAGAATTATTAATATATGGGTGAAAATATTATGAATTATGAAAATATAAGATGTTTCAATCATCTTAGCATAACTCCTGATGTAAAATAATGTTAAGTCCAAAATACTTAGGACATACTAATAAAATAATAATAATAATAATAAAATAATTAGGAAATACTAAAATCATATGTTTAAACCTATACTATATGCAAGTTTTAAAAGTCTGAGATCTATTAAGACAGAGTGCCAACTATGCTAATCTTTCAGGTGTGATGCTCTAAATTTAGCAAATTAAAAATACATTATAAATCTCTGTCATATTGACATAAATATTTTTTTAAATTATTTAATGACATGATCAATAATATTATGTTATATGGTATACTCCAAACCAAGTAAAATTTTGTGTAATAAATAAGGTTGGTTAATTTGGATCACACATTCATGGGGCACTGTTATTTGACAAAGATTTGATTCTGAATAAATAAGATGTTTTTCAAGCTTTTTTAAAATTACTATGACAGCAAGCTATGTCAACTACTGAACAAAGGACATGATTTTAATATCACAACAAAAACACTGCATATTATTCTAAATGAAACCACTTTTTAATATGTAGGTCATTATAATGGGCTGAATTCTGACCCCTAAAACTTAAATGTTGAATCCTAACCCCTTAATACCTCTGACTGTGACTGTTTTTGGAGAAAGGTCCTTTAATTAGGTAATTAAGGTAAAATGAGATTATATGGGAGGGCCTTTCCTGGTGGCTCAGATGGTAAAGAATCTGCCTTTAATACAGGAGATGGTGGTTTGAACCCTGGGTGGGGAAGATCCCCTGGAGACCCACTACAGTAGTCTTGCCTGGAGAATTCCATGGACATAGAAGCCTGCCAGGCTACAGTCCATGTGGCCACAGAGTCACACATGACTGAGTGACTAGACTAACTAAAATATGACTTCTGTCCTTATAAGAAGAAAAGATTAAGAAACATATACACACAGATGGAAGACCACATGGAGACATAGGAAGGTAGAGACAGGCATCTATTAGCTAAAGACTAAAGCCTTAGAGGACAACCCTGTTGACACCCTGATCTCAGACTTCTAGCCTTTAGAACTATGAGGAAAGACATTTCGGTTATTTAAGCCACTTAATCTGTTATACTTTGTTATGGCAGCCCGAGGAAATTAATCCAGTCATAGTAAAATTGTGTAGGTCATAATAAGGGAGAGTGACTTCATATGAAATGTTTAGTATTATACATGTTTCAAAGTAGAATGTTTTCCTCTCAAATTTTTACACTAGCCTGAATAGATTAATTCAATGAAGGTACTCTTTAATTAGGGAAAGATCATGTTATATTTGTAAAATTCAATCGTCAGAGCACAATTCTGACAAATATATACATTTACTCTAATGCTTACAGGGGTTCCTTCTCTTTCCTTTTTTTTTTTTTGGTGAAGAAAAGGTTGGAAGATGAAAGGGTTCAACAATATAATTGAAAAATTATATAGATACTTCTATTTGGATTTGGGAATAGTGATCCAATCACAGACATGAAGATTCATTCTTTAAAAATTTTAATAGACAATATTATAATCTTATAGGATATAGATTATTTGATCAGTAATACTAATTATCCTGGGTGGAAGTGGACACTTTACTGACAAATCATTAATTCACATGAATTTGACACAGCCATTTTTCTGAAGGCCCTATAAGTGTGGGTATATGGGTAATGTATGTAAGCAGATGCCTCAGGCTGCAATATGGTAGCAATTCAAATGTATTTACAGCATCTTTACCTTTGACAATCTAGCAGAACATAATCCCCAGGCCCTTCAAAATATAGGGCAACAAAACATTAAGTTAAAAGTTATAGATTCATATCTCAGTAGTGTGTATGTGTGTGTATATATATATATATATGAATAAAAAATATCTATCTTATATATCTCATTAGTATTGATAGAGCATTAAGCAAATAGAAAATTAACTTCAGAACAAACTGAAGGCTAAAAGGGGAAAACATTTTGAAACACTCAAAGCACAACTGACTAGTGCAATAAAGTTAATCATTAATTTGGTAAGTAAAGTAGAGAATGTCAACTATTCTTTTAGATAATCTGTTTTTTAAATTAGAAAAGTATTTTTAGAAACCTTTCAAATGTAATTTTGATAGAGTGTCCTGGTTCAGCTTCAATCACCCATTCACAATTCAGAGAGTCTTTATAGTATCCTGGCCATCCTGGTGACAGAATCAATCCACTGGGAGCTGAAAAATGGCCACCACATGGAGCTGAAAAATAAAATCAGAGAATAGGTAAAAATAGAATGTTAAAGAGTAAGCTGCAGAAGATATTTTTAGTATTAATTGTGTTTTTTAAAATTAATCTGTGTATATATACTGGAGAAGAAAATGGCAACCCACTCCAGTATTCTTGCCTAGAGAATCCAGTGGACGGAGGAGCCTAGTGGGCTGCTGTCCATAGGGTCACACAGAGTCAGATACAACTGAAGTGAATTAGCCTGCGTGCGTGTATGTATATACCAAACGCTATTTTAAATTGTTCTGAAAGTAAAACATCTAGTCATTATATTATTGAATGATTATTTTCCCTAAAAAAAAACTTTACTTTTTGGAATAAGGTTTAGTTACACACTCAGCATGTCAGATGAACTCAAGTCTCCCAATTATATCCCTTAAATATGTTCTTGTGTCTCCACCATTTTCCCCAGTTTCAAATCTCGGAAAAAAAAAATATGTTAGTTTTAATTTCTCTCTTTCATTTTCTGATTTATGTATCAAATACTGTTAATTCATGTTACACACTGTCTAAAACTTTGATCTTCCTTTTATCAGAGTCTCTTATTACAATTTTAGGCCTTCATTGATCCAGTTTCTTCCCTGATCTCCCATATGCTAATTTCTCTTTTACTCCAGCCCAGCTGTCAGAATAATGCCCTTCAAATTACAGTTTCATCATATCATTTGCTTTTCTAGACAGGTACCTTGATCTCTTTTCCTTTAACATCAGATTCAACTCAGCTCATCATTTCAAGAATTTAATCTTCTGCTTTCTTCTAAACTCATACACAATTGAAACTACAATGATAGCATTTTAATTCCAGTAGGTACTGATAAGGTATTTTACTGTAAACACCTCATTTTGAAGAGAAATAAACCAAGTTGAGAGAACAACTTGTCAAAGTTCACAAGACTTCACAGTCTCAAAAGTATTTTCAAGTCAGCTTTACAAAACAGGACCTCAAAACCAGCTCTCTCCCATTATTTTCAATATCATTACATGAAATCACCATCCATGGATTTGAAAAGCCCAGAAATTTAGAAGTAGTCATCTGTTAGAGTCGAACCTCGGTCTCCTTCATTGCAGGTAGCTTCTTTGTTGTTTCAGCCACCAAGGAAGCCCATTTTCCTTACTATTTACTCCTATATCCAACTCATCCTCAAGCTCATTCTTTTTTTCTCAATGTCTACAGTTGCCAGATTTTGTTTAAATTAACCATAATTTCATATCTGGAGTAAACACTCTTAACTGACCCTCTTGATTGGTCTTCTCATCTACACTAACTATCCTCCACACTATGGTCAGAGTTATTTTTTAAACCACAAACATCCTTAGATGGTCTCTCGCTGTGCTTACCAACAGGCCATGAATGATCTAGCTATTGCCTTAAACTCTAGCCTGTACTCTGAACTTCTCCCGCTGCACTCAGCAGCCCTGATACATTAGCCTGCTTTATATATTCAGGAGGAACACAAAGAGGGGATAAAATGGAGCAAAAATATTTGAATTATTAAAATTATTTGGAAAGTCAAATGTATACTATATCAGCTTCAACAAATTAGAGATTCTTCCCAATGACTTAACATTTTATACTTTTATTTTCTTTAAATATTTCATTTTTAACTCTATCTCATGTGTTTATATTTTTGTCTTTGTTGTTTACTTGTTTCTTTCAGTTTTACCTTAGAGAATTTCAAAAACCTATTGTTCCAGGCACTGTTTTACACTTTTTCATTCTAAAGTAATTGGCATAACCCAAACAAAATAGGATATATGTAATAAATTGGCTTAAGGATCAAGCATTATTATAAAATGTCCATTTGTGAAAAATATTTTCTATATGAAGTTGTCAAAATTTGTTATTTGTATGAGTAAGGACTTTCACATAAAAGTAAATTTTTTTCCTTATTAGAATTTGATTTTGTTTGTTTAAAAGTTTTCACAGGATAGTATTTTCATGAGGATTATTTACTTAGTGATGACTTATAATTAAATTTCCTGTAGGGTTATTATGCATTTCAAAAACAAAATTATGTGCATAACAGTCACTTAAATTGCCATATTTTAAAAGACAGAGGAAAGCATTTTGGTGAGAGAAGATCCCTGAAGTATGGGATTTCTAATGGAAATACCTAATACATCATCAACTCATACTGTTCTAGGAAAGTATTTGTACACTTCAGTATAATCATAATTAAACAGGTAATTAGTCATAAAATTAGCAATTGAGTAATGGGCCATTAACTATTAAAAAGTAGAATACCCAGAAGCATTTTGGTTGGTCCTTCAGTACAACATGTTAAAGAGGCAGAGTTGTTCGGAAAGAGTATTAAAGCAAAGGAGTAGCATAAATATGTTGTGACTGTTTACTGAAAGTATTTTCCCAAATAGTGACCTTGCTACAAAGTGATTATTTCCCTAATTAACATACAACTTATTTCCATAATGCCTGAAAATAAATATGCAGATATTGAATTTTAAGAAATGCTTATATAGTTAACACCAAAAGCTTGTGTATCTCAAAGTATAATGGTACTATAGTCTTTAAAAAATTTCTGGAAAAGACAGTATCTTTGACAGAACAAAGGAAACTTGGAATATATAGAAAACAGAAAGTAGATCAAGATACAGGGAATTATTTTCAAGTTATATTTATTCATTCATCATGTACTCATTTGTATTTCAATCATTCAGCAAACACTTGTGTGTCAGATACATGCCCCTCTGATATTTGGACTACCTCTAAGTTATCAGTTTCCTAGATACCAGGCAATATGTAAGAAGTCCTATGCATTATTTAGGTAATATTTAAAATAATCCAACCACATATGTACCATTATAGATTAGAACATTGATGTGTAGAAATTTTATATAATTTGCACATCAGCTAGCAAGGATTTGAATAGAGGCAAGCTGACTCTAGAAACTTCTTTACAAATGTAATTAAGATATTCTCATTCCTTTCCTCACATTTCACATGTGCAAAACACAGAAATGTAAGCATAAAAAATAATAAGGTCATAAGTTATATAAACGTTAGTAAAGTAATGCTCAAAATCCTCCAAGCCAGACTTTACCAATACGTGAACCGTGAACTTCCAGATGTTCAAGCTGGTTTTAAAAAAGGCAGAGGAACCACAGATCAAATTGCCAACATCCACTGGATCATCGAAAATGCAGGAGAGTTCCAGAAAAACATCTATTTCTGCTTTATTGACTATGCCAAAGCCTTTGACTGTGTGGATCACAATAAACTGTGGAAAATTCTGAAAGAGATGGGAATACCAGACCACCTGACCTGCCTCTTGAGAAACCTGTATGCAGGTCAGGAAGCAACAGTTAGAACTGGACATAGAACAACAGACTGGTTCCAAACAGGTAAAGGAGTACATCAAGGCTGTATTGTCACCCTGCTTATTTAACTTATATGCAGAGTACATCATGAGGAAACACTGGGCTGGAGGAAGGACAAGCTGGAATCAAGATTGCTGGGAGAAATATCAATAATCTCAGATATGCAGATGACACCACCCTTATGGCAGAAAGTTAAGAGGAACTAAAGAGCCTCTTGATGAAAATGCAAAAGGAGAGTGAAAAAGTTGGCTTAAAGTTCAAGATTCGGAAAACTAAGATCATGGCATCTGGTCCCATCACTTCATGGCAAATAGATGGGGAAACAGTGAGAAACTTTATTTTTTTGGGCTCCAAAATCACTGCAGATGGTGATGGCAGCCATGAAATTAAAAGACGCTTTACTTCTTGGAAGGAAAGTTATGACCAACCTAGATAGCATATTAAAAAACAGAAACATTCCATTGCCAACAAAGGTCCACCTATACAAGGCTATGGTTTTTCCAGTAGTCAATGTATGGACGTGAGAGTTGGACTATAAAGAAAGCTGAGCACCGAAGAATTGATGCTTCTGAACTATGGTGTTGGAGAAGACTCTTGAGAGTCCCTTGGGCTGCAAAGAGATCCAACCAGTCCATCCTAAAGGAGATCAGTCCTGGGTGTTCATTGGAAGGACTGATGTGGAAGCTGAAACTCCAGTACTGTGACCACCTTATATGAAAAGCTGACTCATTTGAAAAGACCCTGATGCTGGGAAAGACTGAGGGCAGGAGGAGAAGGGGACGATAGAGGATGAGATGATTGGATGGCATCACTGACTCAATGGACATGAGTTTGGGTGGGCTCCAGGAGTTGGTGTTGGACAGGGAGGCCTGGTCAGCTGCACCTCATGGAATCGCAAAGAGTTGGAAACAATGGAGTGACTGAACTGAACTGAAGTTATATAAGAAAGATATACCCATGGGCAAGGGGTCTGGAGGAGGGCACAAATTAAGGCTTCAAAGAAGAGACTCCATTTGACTTGAGTCTTCAAGGATAAGTCAGAGTTCACCAAGAGACAGACAGAAGATACTGTAAATGAAAGAAACAGCATGTGCTTAAGAGTAGAAGGCTGAATTAGCATAATATATTTTTTTAGGGAACCAAGAAGTGATGAGAGATGAAGGAAAAAGAGTAGAAAAGGACCTGATAAGTTACATTATGGAAAATTAAAATAGTCAATTGAAAAAATTTTTAAAGGCTACATATACATGTAAAGATAAAAAAACACAATTTTGATTTAATGGAAGCTACAGGTATAATGGATTAGGAACAGTGCACCTGGAGTTGGTGAGATCAAATAGGAAACTATTATAATTACCTAGGAAGGTATAATCAGATTCTGATTTGTGGTGGTAACTAGAAAGGGTTGAATATGAGAGATATTTAGGAAGCAGATTCTAAAGCATCTACTGATTACATGCAATGATTGAGCAAGATAAAAGTTGGGCTAAGATAAATTGGTTATTGGGTCCCTGTCATGAACTACATTATAGAAGATAATTCCATTTGCTAAAATAGGAAACACAAAACAAAAAGGAGTTTTACGTGGAAAGATAATAAGATTCACTACTGAGGCAAAAAGGACTGTGAAATACAA